CAAATTCTTTGTGTTCATAAAAGTCGCCTGCCAATCATTATAATCTTAGATTTACCCCAAAATGTTTACTTACCCAAAAATACCCTCAAAGTTAATTAATAGACAGATCTACTTGAAGCATCCTATCAAATAGTTAAGGCTAATCAAATTATATAATTAGAAAAAGATAAATTTCACAAAACCTATCTTAAATTTCGCCTTTTTTTAAATAACCGTCTAACTCTTTTAATAGGTATATAAAAAGAACCATTAACAAGGCTCCCAAACTTGTTCTTTTACACTGAACCCTTTGAAGATTGTTCACTTTAACCCCTAACTTACATTTATGACATTTTATTACTTTCAATATCTGCCAAGATGAATCGCAGAAAAAGAATTAACATCAGACACTAATCCCTAATATTGACAATATATTTTTATCTGGTACAATATATTGGTGTAATTTATGACATATTTTTTATTAAAATTAATGACATAATAAATGTAGTTTTTTGTTAGTTAATTATTTGGGAAAATTGCTTCCAGCATTAATTATATATATATTTTAGTTCCTTACTAGCTTAAATGCACTTCCAAATACGTAATCGGGATAAAAAAAAGGTACAAAAGTATGGTTACACATCTGTTTTGACAAATGAAACAACTGAAATAATGCTTACATGTAAACTTTTTTCTTCGGTTAAATATCAGAAACCAACGCCCCCCACCCCCAAAAAATATCCATAAAAAAAAACACCCAAAAACTCTTTAGACGATTATAAAATAGCACTCCATACTTTCGAAAATATAAAAAACTATCCTTAAATTTAGGGGTTATTAGAAAACCGGCCATTTTTAACTTTGAGACTTTATTAGAAAACCCCATTTATTTAGGGGGTTCTCATAAGAGCTCAAAGTTAAATGAGGTTTTCTGATAAAAGCTTAACGTTAAAACTGAGCCTTTTTCTTGTGTATGCACCAAGTCCCACCAAAATACATTATATATCCCAGTTATTATAATTCCCTGTCAGCATTTTTATTAACTGAAGATACCAAAAAAAAATATCTACTGATGCACATACTAATTGGATTTAGCTTTTTTTAAGTTTGTAACAATTCGATAGAGGCAGAAGTTACCCCGTATAGGATTACAATAAGATGCAGCCTATTGCTCTCACTTAAAAATTCCACGATAAATAATTCCTTTCAGTAATTGCTGCTAGTACCACAAGTTCAACAGCTCCAAAAACATTCATAATGGCTGATAATGTAAGATCCTTTCGAAACTTCAAGGTCAATTAACTTTTCCTGAAACAATATCCCAATAAATTGTAATGATTCGATTACTAAATATATAGCAACTATTTAATGTAGAAATTAAACATTACGGGTAGAATCAATTATTATGGTTTTTTTTAAATAAAACACATGCCCTCCATTAAAAACTCTCCGTATCGCATGTAACAATGTAGGTTAAAATAAAATCAGGGGTTAATGCGTAAAACCAGGAAAAGATGAGCCGCAGATGCAGCAAGGACAGCAAGCCCAACCGTCAAGCACCCCATCAATCTCCCGATCGAAACGATTTTTTACATCTGAGCCCCTCGGATCGTCAAATATTACCAGCACAAAAGCTCCGGCCACCAAGGACGAAATGCCCAGTAGCTCCGCCTGCCCGTTAAAACGCCGAAACCCGAACCGTTACCGACCCGTTAAAACCGACAGCACGAATACCACTACCGGAATAGTGTTAATTCCCACGCTCTCAAGCGTCGACGTCATGTAACGGAGGTTTGTCGCTATCAGCAGCTGCTCTATGGGATATTAGGAATCCTTCACGGATTCAAATAATTTCCTTTTTAACAATATAATAATTACAACAAGATAGCAAAAATTTGCTTTGTCAAGTAAATAGAGAAATGAAGAGGGCTTAACTGCAGAAGACCAACGAGAAAGGCCAACGAGAGTACGTCGGAGGGGAGTGAAGGTGTTTTCCCACTGCATAAGGAGAAGCATTTTAAAAGGAGAAGTACTTAAAAAGGAAAAAAAATTACATTTAAAAAGAAGAAATATCGGAGAGGATCCGAATTCTTTGCACAAAACCTTCTGAACGTGATAAATAACAAAAACCTTCTCTAGACTTTTAAAATTTTAGTTAACACCTAATAACTACTAGAAAATCGCACAAACGGTGTTAATGTATAGAGTAAGGATTCGGATCTTCTCCAATTAGATGGTAATTTGAGAGAGACCAATTCTCTCAATCCTTATCGTCTATTCTAAATTCAATAGATGAGATCACACCGTGTAGTATCTGAAAACACTATGATCTCGAAAACTAGCCACTTGCAAACTTGAAAACCACCATATTCAAAATTAATATTTGTAATAATCAAAATCTCACATAGCGTGATCTCATTTGTTGAAAGTGACATAGACAGTAAGAATTGAGAGAATTGCATCCTCTCCAATTACCACCTAATTAAAGAGAATCTCAATCCATAGAGTAAACGTTTAAAAATATAACATGATTGTGTTTCCTTTTAGAAAAATATGACCTGATTGATTGTTTTGTATTGTTACACCGCATGATTCATGAATGTTCTTCATTCAATAATTTTCAACTTTTATCGCAATTCTAACTGATTACTTGATTTCTGATATTTTCCAATAGTTCAAAAAGTTCATTAAAATTTGAAAAATCATAAAATCATGATGTTCCTAAGCTGCTACTGAAAAAAGAGCCCAAAAGTTCAGGAAGGTTTGTGAAGTATAACGAAAAAGAATAAAAAAAAAAGGAGGAAGGGTATCTAGAAAAAGTACCGATTAAAAAAGAGTGCAAGCAAGGCGAGGAGGAGGGCAGAGACTCGCATTATAAATTCATATGCACTTTATTAAGCTCCTGATATAGGGCAGATAGATAGAGGTATCACATTATAAGTACCTTAAAAATTGAGAATATACCATACAACATTTACATTCTGTTGATATAGAAAGCTTAAATGACCAATGGGCCTGGTGCAGATTGGGTAAGATAGGTTCAATATCATGTTGACATATTTTTGCTAGAGCTTTGATTTCGTCTATTTGGCATGAGCGCAATATGATAATTTTACATGGTAAAAAGTTACATGCTTCGGAATTATATGATGTAGAACCAAGTATTTTGCATCCTTGAGGAAAGGGAACCTTTCAGCTGCGATCGCTATCGTGTTTCTTTGTGCTACTAGAGAAGCAGATACCCGAGGCCACTGCTCCCACTGATGGAGACTATGCTGGAGCCTGGAGGTGAAGTTGCTGATACTGAAGCTCAAGCCGCTGCCGCTATCGATGGAGATTATGCAGGGGCCATGAATCCCATGATATATACCTGCTGTTAGTGCTGAAGCTTAATTAAGGGATTTAAAGTTGTTGATGCTAAACTTTATGTGGCTAGAGTACACAAATCTCAATTATTCACGCTTACCATTAAAGTCAAACAACTCTAAGAATTCTCAGCTTATTCCAGTCTTATATAAACAGTGACTCATTTGACAAAATAATTAAGAATCCATGTTTACAAGAGATGTGATTTGCGTATCCTTGTTCAATCACAATCATGATCTTTACGTAACTGCAGCATGTGGTTATTTACAGATGACACATCTTATTATTAATAAACAATCGGTTTTTCTATAGAGTGCCCATGGGCACTTTATAAGAGAGGAGAGAGATAGAAAGAAATGAATAGCTCATGGGTCCTCTTGATTTATATTAATTTCTGTGTATAATTCATTTCTCTCTATCTCTCTCCTCTCTTATAAAGTGTCAATGGGCACTCTATAGAAAAACCAATAAACAATTACTGTAATAAATATTTACTGTAACGGTACTACAAAATCCGGTAGCATGCATGGTTCAACAATTACCAACTTTTAGGAATGATAATCAGTATCCAAAAAGGCTCTGCATGAGTACCAATGTTAAAGTTTGGCATTTTAAATTTTTATTTTGACTAAGAAACAGAATTATGAACACAATCAGAATCCAGAATGAACACGTACGTAACATCAACTAATTTTTTTGCAAGGACAAATTTTCAAAACCAACCTATTTGGACTTTTATTCCCAAAAAAAGACCCGTTTCACATTTATTTAGAGAAACCGACCTGGTTTCAGCCTCAGCGCTGAAACCAGGTCGGTTTTTGAAAAAAACTCTCCGAAACTTCACGGGAGTTGAACTCCCGTGAAGTTTTTTGAACTACGAAACTTCACGGGAGTTCAACTCCCGTGAAGTTTCGGAGAGTTTTTTTCAAAAACCGACCTGGTTTCAGCACTGAGGCTGAAACCAGGTCGGTTTTTGCAATTATTTTTGAATGGGGTCGTTTTTTGGGAATAAAAGTCCAAATAGGTTGGTTTAGAAAATTTGTCCTTTTTTGCAATTACATCAGAGCTTGAGATATCTATTCGCGTGCGTACGTATCACAGATCATGGAAATCGACCGTACCACAAGTGCCAGTCTGATCCAGCCCATGGCCTGCAAAATTTCATAATGGTCCCAACATATCACCAACTTGCTGACATTTGGCCCATGGGTACTGAAAAGCTTTGATAATGATAGGGATAATAAACATAAGCCCAGATTAATATTAAATTGATTAGGTCACGGTCGGTTGTAGCTAACTATGGTCCTTGTTAGATTATGTTAAAAATTCATATCTAATTTACAGTTGCACTTAAAGCCTGAAAGTGATTCGCTTGCTCTGCAAACTTTGAAAGAAAACCCGTCCCGTCACATAAAAGGTCTTGAATTGGGTTGGAAAACTTTTTCAAGCGAAAGCGATGGGACAAGGAAAAGAGGAAAAGGGAAACTGGATTCTGAAGAATTTTTTTCCCCCGATTTAGGTTATGACATTCGACCGGTCAAAATCCAACTTTAGAAAAATACATATTATTCCTTCCTTTATTTTCCTCACCATTTTATTCATCTTGTTTCAGCCTAATATATATATGATTCTTTTTTTTACTTCCCTGATGACTTTTTCTTTGCATTCAATTTCAAACAATGTATCATCCCTTTTTTCTCTCTTTTTTTAATGTGTGTGGGTGGGTGGGTGGGTAAAATCCCTTCTTAATTAATTTTTAATTTATAGATATTTACATTTTCACTGAGGAAATCGTTGAACAAATTTTGAGGTATAAGAAGATCATGCATCCCTTGTTTGGCTAACTAATCAACCATGTCTTTCCGCTGGACATACTACCCCCACCATGACATTAGCAAGGTAGTTCAACCTCTGAGAATCCTACTACAAAACTTTTAACTTTAGCTTTAGAATGAACAAAAATAAAGCAGAATGATAAATTCAATATCAGCACAATTTGTCACCGGCTTCAAAGGTTCAAATATAATAAGCTTCATAATTGACAACGACAATTAAAGCGCTATCTGTCACTGGCTCCAAAGGTTCAAATATAAGCTTCGTAATTGACGATGACAATTACAATGACCTAACAAGAATTTTATTTTATTTTTCCCTTTCAGTTTTCCCATTTATTGTTGTCTAGTATCCACCTGTAAAAATAAGATAATTTAGCAAAACTATCGTGAACTCAGTTTTGTATATAACTATCTTAAACTATCTTTATAAGAGGAAATACTAACAAAGTTAGATCAAGAGGGTGGAAAATCACGTACAATATTGATATATAACTATACAGTGAAGTGAATTTATAATATACCTGAAAACTCATAAAAAAAAAGTTGTGCAATAATAATGTAAAATCCGTGATTGTTCAATGACTTCATCTAAACGCTCATGGTAATATTTAAAGCATAAATCAAAGTTCATGGTAGGTAATTCATGGATTTATTTTTGAAATTTGCAACATTTTTTTTTATAATGGTCTGAAAGTTTGCGATAATTTCTCTTGAATAAAAACAAAGCTTCGTGCAAATCCTCTAATAGCTCATTGTAGTTTTTATGGACTTGACCTCACATATAAACAGCAAGCTTTGCTACAGGGACCCAAAATATGGGACCAATAGAGGAGACAAGTGAGGTGTCTCCCTCCTTAATGATGGCCAACTTATTATCCAATAGGAGGGAGACACCTCACTTGTCCCCTCTATTGGTCCCATATTTTGAGTCCTTGAGGAATTTTTCATAAACAGCAGTCAAAGCAAGAATTCGAGTGGTCAGCCTAAGCATAACGCATCATTTGAGTAATTTATGACTCACACAATCGAAGTAACGATACTTCAAATCCAAGTAAGCTCAAGTGTGCATTCAGGGTTAAGAATCAAGAACTCTACTAAGTACTAACAAACTAACCTAATCTACCCAATATCCCGTAATAAATGAGAACACCAAACCCTTCTCCAAAGTATTAATCTTAATTTTTTTTATCCCATCAAGCCAAAAATATGTGGCCTAATGGAGATCACAAGACAAAACGGCCCAACACATTTAACAACAATATCTATCCCTTATCAAAACCACAGTTCACAAATAGCTGAAGCACGAGTCAATATTTTATTTGATATATCCTATCCCAACAAGAGAGCTGCGAAACCAACGGGCTCCTCCCATCCCATCACATTTTGACAAAGTATCCGTCAATGTATAGCATGAGACACCAAAAATTATTCACATAAATCCAAAATATATCCCCACCTAAAAACCAAAGAGCTTTGCTATTTGCTACAGGGATCCAAAATATGGGACCAACAGGGGGACAGGTGAGGTGTCCCCTTTCTATTGCATAATGAGCTGGTCATCATTAATGATGATCGGCTTATTATATAATAAGAGGGAGACACCTCACTTGTCCCCCTTGTTGGTCCCATATTTTGGGTCCTTAGGGAATTTTTCAAAACGAAATCCATACACATCCTCACCTCACGATCTCCAACAGGAAAGGTTCTTCAACAAGAAGCTCTTCTGTCAAGCAAATTGTGTCAAGCAAATTGTGAACAGAGCATGAGAAGGGGAAACGAGCAATTTGCTTACCGTCATTCTAGCATTAGCTTAGGGCACTCGACGGAAGCCATTTTCATCAAAATAAAATAATTTTTTTTTGGGGAGCATAAGGGCCTTAGCACATTTTATTTAATAGAAATGCCACGGAGAGTAGAGGATACAGAATATGAAAGGGTTTAAAAAAAGAACAAAAAAAAAACTAATGGGTGAGAGAGCCAAAATACAGCAAGCAGAGCTGAATTTTGAATAACCGCTAACGTTGTTGAGATCTTAAGAGTTGAAGATTCTGCCGAATCGACCAAAAGGTCACCATGATCGATCGCACAATCCAATTCATTTTGTTGGTTGGCCAATCAGGATCCAATAGCGGAGAAGGGCAATTTCATCAAAAAATTACAGGATGAAACATCAATAATAATAAGACATCTCGAACATAAAGGTAACCACCAATAATCAAAATCAATAAGGAGGGAAATGGAGAGAGAGAAATCATAAAAAATCCGACGACTTGAGGCCAATAAACGTGCACACTATCAACAACGATTTCCATCTCTAGCATCAGTTTCGCAAACTTTTAGAGACAATCCACATTCACATATCATTTGCAAATTGAATCCGTAATCATAAAAGCTTATCATTTGTTCCCTATGTGCCCAGCAATCATTTTAGCAACTTCTATATCAGTACCAAAATTGAGAAGCCAATGCGCACGCACAGCAGCACATATCATTAAAAGAAAATGGTAAACTATTATGAAGGGTTATCATTAACGTTGATCCCTAATGTACTCAACAATCATTTCACAGACTCTAAAATATTCAGTTGACGGCTAATTAGCATTTTCCTCAAAAATGACAGGATAAAATAAGAATTCGACACCAATAATAATAATAAAAAGAGCACGAGAACTCTCAATAATCTCCATCTCTATCATCAAATTTGCGCAATAATTTGGATCCAATTCATCGATTATCATAAAAAGTTGCCATTAATATAGAACCCCCCACGTAACCAGCGATCGCGAATCAGCTTTACAAACCCTAAAGACGCTCGCCCCCGCTGCCCCCCCCCCCCCGCCCCCCACCCATCAAAACCAAACAAAATAAATATTTTTTGTGTTTTGTAAAAGAAGAAAGTAGCACATTGAATGGGGAAAAAAAAGGCCCTAACCTCAATCTCTCCGCGTCATTCACCTTCGCAGTCCCCTTTCCCGCCACCGCGCGCCTTCGACGCGGCCGCCGGGGTCTCCACAAAAGTCGCAGAGCTCATCTCCATCTGCGCGATCCTCACCGCCCCGATCAATTCTCTGCGGCAACTCCTCCTCCTCGCTGCGCTCCACAACAAACCCCATATCGATCGTGACCGCCGTCACGTACCCAAGAGCCAGATGCAGCACCGCGTTCCGCTATCGCCGAGCTCCCAATGTCGACGTCGATCTCCAGGTAGTTCTCCCCTCTGTGGTAGCGGCACGTCAGCGCCTTCCCCAGCAAACAAGCCGCAGTTCCCCACCGCCGCCTTCACGATCCACGGCCCCTTGACGATCCTGTTCACGATCTTAAACCTAGAATTGCGGAACGCGTCGTCGCCGTTGACGAAGCGGTAGAGGAGGGACCCAGGCGAGATGGGCTCGTCGGCGGCGAAGTAGAAGACGGCGGAGTGGCAATCGCGGCCTGGGATTTGGAGATTGACGGCGAAAATGAAGGACTTCAGGGTTTGGGCTTCGGCCTGGGCCCTGCGGATTCTGTTATCGGGCCGGCCCAGGACGTTGTCGCAGGCGGGATGTGGAGCGGAGCCAGTCGACGCCGGCGGGTTGGAGGAGGTACGGCCCGACGGGGTTTTTTGGGGCGCGGGTGAAGTAGCCTTTGGAGCGGAGGTTGAAGAGGTCGCCGGGTGGAGAGGGCCCAGCCGTTGGATCCTCTGCGGAGGTCCACGTGGCGGAGGATCCGCCGTTGATGGTCTGCTGTAGAGTTGGATGGCTGCTTGTTTTGTGTTTGGGTCTGTGGATCGGATTCGGGTTGGGACCCGGTCAGGGAGTGGGTCGTGGGGTACATCGGCGATGGGGTCTGCGGGATGGAGATGATGAGGGGGTTAGGAAAGGAGTCCGGGGTTATAAAACAGACTAGGAGAGGACGGTGGGGGTTCTGAATTGCGACGGGGATTTAGAGATAATTACGGGAATACCACTTCGAGGAAAGGGGTGAAGGAGCGATATGTTTTTCGATAGGGAAATTTTTTAAAATAGATCATTTTTGCTAAATATTTATCAGAATAAACCATTTTGCTAAATATTTAACAAAATAAACATCTTTTTGGCCAATAGGTCAAAAAGAAATCGATTTTGAAAAACAAAGCTCAGAAAACATACGAGACTACTTGTCCCGTATGTTTTCTGAGTCCTGTTTTTCAAAATGACGGTGATTAAGTTGGTTCTAAACATACAGGACTAGTAGTCCCGTATGTTTTCTAAGCCCTATTTTTTAAAATCGATTTTTTTTGACCTATTGGCCAAAAAGAGATCTATTTTGCTAAATATTTAGCAAAATTGATCTATTTTAAAAAAAATCCCCTTTTCGATATTATTAGTCCCATAATATTTTGGAATTAGGGCCTCAAATCATTGAAATTAATATTAAGAATCCAGCCCTTACATTTTCATATTGATTTTCTTAATGTAGGACATGTTTGTTTCAAGTGGAAATCCTCACAAAGCTTCCACAATCTGAAAATGCGGGGAAAAACTCCATGAGTTTCCGATTTCCTTGTTTGCTTCACCAATTTTTTTTTTAAGAATGGTTTTCTTAAAAGTGTGGAAAGCATCACTTTTTGAATGGTAATCAATTCCTCTCAAAATGTAAGGAAATGAGTTAGAAATGGTTGAAATGTGTGTTTTTATATTTAAACAATGAGATGATATGGAGAGTTAGTAAATTAAAATTAAATAATGAAGGAACAACTCGTATGTTTTCTTATTTTTGGCTTTTGAACCAAACAAGAGACTGTGATGACAAACATTTCCTCCTCATGTTTTCTTACTAAAACAAACAATAAAAGCATTTTTTAGAAACACACGAAAGGTGTGAAAATAGAAATTTTTTTTTCAATTACTATAAATAACTTTCTATATTTTTTAAAAATGAAACAAACAAGTCCTATGAGAATTGAGGAATATAATAGCAATTTGGTAGAGACCAGAGACAGATTAACCTATAAGAATTGGTGATGTATGTTTCGATGCTTTGAGGGGCCAATTTAAAATCATTAAAGATTAAACGGACTAATTTAGAATAAACCTTTTTTTGTTACCACGGCTTTTTTTAACGAGGAGCGGAGCGGATCGTAATTTATTAGGGGGGGAAAAGGACCCGCCGATTTACCGGGGTAGTAAAGATCAGCTACGAGGTTTCCTGGTACTTACAGATGATCAATCTAGTAAATGAGTGGCACGTGTCCAATATTCTCCACTTCTGGCACGTGTGGTTCTACTGTACTTGGATTTCGGCTGTATTGTGCATTGAGTTGTGTGAACGATCCAGGTGAGCTCCGAGTGGGTGGGTGCACACAAAACACAGAGTCACAGACTCTTTTTTAACCTTTTCCTACGTAGACTTTTTTACATTCTTGAAGAAATCAAATCGATTTTCTTTAGTTAGTAGCCTTCTAGAGTTTTGGAATGTGATCCCCGTCCTGTACAGTTTTGTAATGTGATTTCATTACTGTTGCTAATTAAAAGAATTGCGGAGCTAAATTATATATCAAGGAAAGAAACATAGAAATATTTGAATTTGACACTTTGCTTTGTGTGCTTACTCATTAAGTATTTGTTTATAATTGCAAAATTGCTCCCCATTAAAAATAAGTTGGACATCAAATATGTTGCATGTGTATAGTGAGAATACAACAAAGCTATAAATTAAGTTGTATATGTTTACCAATATCGTTTGAATATTTAATCCAACGCTAGAAGTTGATAAAACATGTTATAGCCAGATCTAATGTAAAACATAAATGAGCGAAAATGGATATGAAAATTGCGACTCATTTTGATAAATAAGCTATCAAGAGACTAGATATATGATAAGACTCATCTGTCTAATTATATAAAAAACGTGCTAAATGAACCATCAAACCCAACACACATTTATAGTATTGGATAATACTAATAGTGAGGACAGTTAACTCATGTTACACTGAATAAGCATTCTTTTTTACCCAAAGTCTTTAGAGGTATAATTCGAACCATAGATCCTTCACGAAAGGGATATTTTTATTTTTCACTTTTTTTTATACACTAAAGTTTATTGAAAGCAACTTACAAATGGTCGAATAGGAGGATGTCTTGCTTTCTTCCAAAAGCCAACAGTTTTGACTTCCCTAATAAACCGTAACAACTCCTTGAAAGTTTGGGCACCAAAATCAATGGCACTGTTATGAAGAACAAGAGCATATGTGTAACGAAAGTAAAATAAAATAAAATAAATCAGATCCGATATTAAAAAATTGCAAATGCTGAGGTGTAGGCTGGTGCATTTCCATCTTTTGCTTCTCTCCCTCTCTCTGAATTATCCTTTCCCCTTCTTCTAGCGTGTTATCCGCCCACCTGTGCTCTGGGAAAAGTGAGAGATTCTTTCGCCATAAAAACTACTGTCTTTCTTTCGTGTATACATTTTTGTATATAGTACATACATCATACGTGCGTGTATATAAATATTATGTTTTTTCCCCTCATCATTTTGGAATTTCTCTACGTATCAATACCTTGCTTCTATTATTCATGCTACAACGTCCAAGTATTCCTACGGATTAACCTTGAAGGAGAGCTAGAAGTTTGTAAAATTTGTTGGTTTTGAGGTGTGTAGATCCAAACCTGAGAACAAAATCAGAAGCTGAAAAATACCCCGATCTGTCGACCGAAGAAGCAGATCAGTCGACTGATTCGACTGTAGGAAAGAAGCTGGAAAACGTCGCTCTGATCGGTCGACTGGCGAGGTGCCACCAGTTGACCGACAACTTGCACGAAGCAGCCGAGAAACCCCTTATCAGTCGACCGATGCAAGTGCATCAGTCGATCGATATCGGGTCATCCTGTTTCCTGATTCGGTTTGAAATCTCTTTTGAGTTAGGGTTTTATATATTTCTTGAACGTTCTTTTGAGAGTAAGTACATGAAAAAGAGAGGGTTTCAGGAGCACTTTGAGATCAGAGATCTTAGAGAGAGAGAGTTGTTAGATCTAATAAAAACTTGAGATCTAAACCATAAAGCCATGATTTAATTCAAAGAGATTAACAAGAATCAAAAGGTGCGGAAGCATATACCTGAATCCATTGAAGAAAACTTGATTAGGGTTTTGATGATCTTCTAACCTTAGGGTTTTTCTCTTATGGATCTCTTTAGATGGGGATAAGAGAATGAGAGTGGTTAACCCTAGATTAGGGACCATAACCCCTTATATATAGGTGTTGTACATTTATAATTTGGCCCCTTATCAAATTACAATTACAACCTGGTATCTGCACATATAACCCCCATGATTTATTTAAATACCTATTAACCCAAATTGATTGATCACTTTAAGTGGATTATCCTTAAAGATAGTAATACACATTGATTAATCATATGTGCCCACAAATAGATTTAATTAGATTTAAATCCAACAATCTCCCACTTGGGCACCATATGATTCCTTAAATTGTGTATAACCTTATGAGCTCAAAATTGCTATCATTAAAAAGATATTTCCAAACAATCTCGTTCATTGACTATATCAATATAGGATCAAAGCGGTCTTTGTCACATTTATCGTGACTCGACCCATCAATGGTCACATATACCAATACAATCAAACGACATAGATCAATCATGGATGTGCAGCATGAAAATTACATGCAATGTGATCAGTACATGTCTATTTTCAACTCGTCCTCCTTTAGTGAGGTCAAAACCAAACATAATGTAACAGTGTGTCTTAACTGAATACTTTATTCTGATCAGACAATACAACCAAACACAAAGCACCAGAAAAATTATAAACTCCCACTAAATTAGGATATCCTTGAATAACACCACACCCATATGAGTAGTATGCTCATGAAAGACCTTGGATGGCAATCCTTTAGTAAGAGGATCTGCTATCATGGAGTTTGTCCCAATGTGCTCTATGGATATCTGTCCACTCTGTACCCTTTCTTTCACAACCAGGAACTTAATGTCAATATGTTTTGACTTAGTTGAGCTCCTGTTGTTATTGGAATACATTACTGCAGATTTATTGTCACAAAATAACCTCAGTGGTCTTTCAATATTTTCCAAAATGCGCAGTCCAGTGACAAAATTTCGCAACCATATCCTATGATTTGATGCCTCATAGCAAGCTACAAACTCTGCTGCCATAGTGGAGGAAGCTACGAGTGTCTGTTTTACACTTTTCCATGATATAGCTCCTCCTGCTAACATATAAATGTAGCTTGATGTAGACTTTTTGCTACCTTGGCATCCAGCAAAATCAGAGTCCGAATACCCAATGACCTCCAACTGTTCTGATTTTCTATATGTGAGCATATAATCTTTTGTTTTCTGAAGATACCTCATAACCCTTTTGACTGCTATCCAATGATCCATACCAGGATTGCTTAAGTATCTGCCTAACATCCCAACAATGTACGCAATATCCGGACGCGTACATACCTGAGCATACATTAAACTTCCTACAGCCGAAGCATAAGGAATCTTCTGCATTTCTTGAATTTCAAGGTTGCTTTTAGGGCACTAATTTAGACTAAACTTGTCTCCTTTAGCAACAGGGGTATCTCCTGGTCTGCAGTCTTGCATGCCAAACCTTTTAAGTACCTTATCGATATAGCTCTTTTGTGATAATCCAAGAATATTCCGAGAGCGATCTCGATATATCTGGATTCCTAATATAAAAGAGGCGTCCCCAAGATCTTTCATCTTAAATTTCTTTGA